AAGTGGCCATACTGCAGCACCTAGGGTTCGTCGCATGCAGGGGCAGCACTGCGAGGTGGCGGCAACGATCAAAGAGAGGAAGGGATGGGAGAGCCGAGTCTGATGGATGTGCGTGCCTCGTATGGGTCAACTTATAGAAAGTTGGAATACCGAACAACATAAAATGGGGAGATATGTTTACATGATAAATATGAAGAATGGTCGCAGGGGGTACACACGAATCTCTACGCCATCCAATGGTTCACGACTAACCGATAGAAACCGGTTCTGCTAAGAAAAAACTTACTTTCCCCTCTAATGGGTGCACCTATCTAGCTCAAACTTCATTCATCGGCCAATATATTGTTGCCACTGAAGTAGCTGGAAAAACAGATCACCGCTATTCCACACCGATATTTCAATTCAGCAGGGGACGACCATGTGGATTCTGCCGGGCAATAGTGCTCGAATGCAAGGAGCTGGCCCTGGATCTTTCAAAGATATCATATGCTCATTATCTTCGAAAAGCAAATGAAGTTGTTTACGTGTTAGCGAAGAATTCTTTAACGAAAAATGTTCCGCGTTTTGGGAATCTATGATCCCTGATTTTATTTCTCAGACTCTTGTAAATGACCTATCGATCACCTACGAAATAATATCTTTTATGATTTACAAAGAAAAATCTGCGCCGACATTTTGCCGAACGCCTGGCTGGCACCCCGCTATGGCGGCGCCGTCTCGCGCGTCGCAGCAAGCGCCGGAGTCCGGGCCCACTGTTCTTGAAGCGGAGGCGCCCCGAAGAGCGTCGCAACGGGAACGGCAAGGCGCGGTGGCAAACGCACCATCTCGGTGCCGCAGGCCGCTGCTGCCCTGCCTATATATTCTCGACGCCGACGCAACTGCCGCAACGAAACCTTTCTCGGCGCACACTACACAAGGGGAGAGAGAGAGATACCTCATCGGCCTAGCTAAGGCGTAACCGACCTACCTCCCTCCCTCCCTCCATCCCGTCCCGTGGGCGGATCGGCGGCCATGGAGGTGGAGCCGGGGTCCAACGTATGGGAGGACGCCCCCGACAACATCCTCCTCCGCGTCGCCGCCTACCTCCCCTTCCGCCTCGACCGTCTCCGCATGTCCCTTGTCAGCCCACACTGGCGCCGTGCCTTGTGCGGGCGGGGCCAGGGGCGCCCCCCGCAGCCCCCCCTTCTGCCGCCTCTGCCGCCCGTGCTCCCGTGGCTCGTCTTCCCCAACACCGAGGAGCCTTCCCTCTTCTGCGCCATCGACCGCATGAGGTACCCCCTCAGCCTCTCGCGCGACGTCCGCAACGCGCGCTTCTGCGGCTCCTGTGATGGAGGCTGGCTCGTCCTCGCGCTCGACACGCGCCCCACGCAGTACGCTCTCTACAACCTCTACTTCGGGCAGCGCATCCCCCTCCCTGGGGGTCTCGCCATCCCTGACGGTGCCGGGAATGTCCCCTTGGTCTTGCGCGCCGCCACGTTCACATCCTCGCCGACGTCTCCTGGTCCCAATGGCTACATGATCGGTGCCATCGTTCTCGTCTGCTCCAAGTGGTGCGCCGCCTTCTGGCGAGAGGGGTTACCCAACTGGATCACGTCCGAGTCAGATGACGTGTGGATGAGCCGGCCGCCGCAGGACGTCAAGTTTGCCGGTGGCGCCTTCTTCTTCGTCACCGCGGACGAGAAAATCGTCATGTACGTTCCAACGTTCGCCGGGGACGAGAACCAGTATGTCATGAGGCGCTACGACTGCGACATGCTGCAGCGCGACGGCTACGCAGACGATCTTCAAGGCAATGCCAAGATAGCGCGGTACCTCGTGGACTCCAGGGGTGTCCTGCACATGGTCCTCAGGTATATCTACAACAACCAAGGGACGGCTAGGTTCCGGGTCTTCAAGTACCAGGTCCTGCCGCAGGTGGCCGACGACGTGCCCCCCACTGGTACCTGGCTGAGTGTGAGCGAGTTGGATGGCCAGATGCTGTTCCTGGGACAAGGCTGCTCCAGATCCATCGAGGTCGCGCAGTTCGAGGGGTTCGAGGGCTCCACGATCTACTTCCCGGACGACCGCTTCATCCCCGATCCCGAGCCGACGGTGGACAACAGGAGGTCGTAATCCTTCATCGACATGGGCAAGTACTCATTGCAGGGGGAGCAGGGGGCCGTCCAGCCCTGGCCTCCGGTGGATCGTCGCACGGCGAGGTCCGACAAGGCTCCTCCCACTTGGTGGCTCCATTGACGCGACCATGCGACCGGCTGGTGATTGTTTTTGCTCTTGAGGCTTATTACTGACTACTTGCATAGTACATTGCATGCTACTCTGTTGTTTCCTCCTCGAACTTGATGGGTACGTGGTGCTGAGATTGTATTTGTCCTGCTGCATTTGGTGTTGTGAGATGGTAACACTGGTAGTGGTAGTAGGGGAGGGATATTTACCACCCTCCTACATATATACTCTAGCCACTTGCAATCCAGTTCAGGTTCGATCTGCATATAAGGCTCCAATGCAATGCAATCTTGCGTTACTTGCTATATTTGGCTTCTTGTTGGCAGTTTTCATGTTCTTGTATATTCTTGGAACACAAATGTGGTGCTGCTGTCTCGCATCAGTAGTGGGCATTGCAGGTTCTAGTTGTTAACTGGAAATTCCTATTCAGTTTCTAGATGTTGCTGCAAGCTATTTTTGGGTGCTCCTGGATATTGTTTAGCTCTCATACTTCCTGCCGTCTGTTAAGGTTACTTTAGTACCTTTGCTGTGTAGTGTGATGTTGCTGGTGGTACCAGAAATGGCAGTTTTGCATGTATACGACCGAAAAATCTCCATGATATTTGTGTTCCACAAGCTCTTTGGTGTTTTTGTCAGACATGCCATTTAATTTCATCTTATTTTATTCATGAATACACAAAAGCCTTGGTGGGTATCATTGCATTGATAGGTAGGGAGTATTAATTTCATCTAATTAACAGAGTAAATCAAACTCGAATGACGTACTCCCTCCGTCCGGGAAAAGTTGTCCAGAGCGCAGTGTAATGTTCTTTTTGCAAAACAACCCTCGAAATTTGAAAACTGTCTGAAGTAGGTATCAGTCTCCTTCTCCTCCCTCCGCCCGTCCTCCTCCCGTCGCCAGGGGCCGGCGCGGTCGGATTCCGCCGCCGTGCTAGCGATTCCGGCGATCGCAGACACCCACGAACACCCGCGCCGCCCACCCGAGAACAGCTGCCCATTGATTCCGCCGCCCACCGGAGGCGAGCTGGTCCCCGATTCCACCGCGCGTCGCCAGGACCAACCGCCGACCACCTGCGCGATTCCGCCGCCGCCTACCTGCGTGATTCCGCCGGCCACCTAAGTGACGGAATCGCCCACCCGACGGTCACCGAGCTGGTAGCCAAACGCTCTTTCCCCGCCCCCGCCTCTGCTGCTGCTGCTACAAATCCAATCACCGGCCCCGCCTCTCGTAGGCATTCCGCCGCCGCCTACCTGCTGGACGCATGAAGATGTTTGGAAACAAACAATCAATCATTTCTTGGAAGCAAATTAACAATCCATTTTTGGAAACAAACAATCAATATGATTCCACCAGGTTCCTCGAGATTGGAGTATATTTCCAAATAATTTCAGTGCACAATCAATCAATTTTATTTTGGAAAGAATCAATATGATTCCACCAATTCCTCAAGTCTGGAGTATATTTCCAAATATTTTCAGTGCACAATCAATCAATTTATTTTGGAAACAAATCAACGTTCCACCAGATTCCTCAAGACAGCAGTATATTTTTCAAAACAATCAATCAAATGTTGTAGTCTTGACCAGGAGAATAACATTTTCAATCAAAAAGTTGCAGTCTTTATACATACGGTTTTCTTCAGTTAGTCTTATGGGTCATCCAAAAAATGGTTCATTGGAACATTCTTGTTGACTGCTCCTTGTGGTCAAATTCCAAATTATTGTAAGGAGTTAACTAAATTTAGTTTCGGTAAAGTTTACAGTAAAGCCAAATTAACTGAATTTTCAGTAAATTTAACAACAGGAATTTTCTTGCTGGCATATCTGAGAAACTCTAATTTTCTCACAATTTATCTGAGAAACTCTAATTTCTCACGATTTTTTTGCACTGCAAATTCACACTGGCGTTGCAAATCGTCAGGTGTAGTACTGGCATTGCATTGCAAATTCACCCTATATAATCCCTCATGACAGTTAGATGGAGTAGCACTCTTGATTAACAGGACAAGAACATGGTGGCAACACTGTTAGATGGAGTAGCAACTAACAGGGTGTGTTTCAGAATTAACAGGAACATGGTGCATATCTAGACTTTGTGTACTCTTGATTGCGGTGATTTTGGTAGATAATGTACTCCAGCAACGACATCTAGACACACAAAATCTTCAGATCCTACTACTCCACATGTACTCCAGAAATCACAGTTTCAGAATTAACAATCTGACATTAAGAGTTAAGATTTACTGAACTTGGTGAAGGTAGATCAAAATTTCAGTGTGGCACTGAATTTGTAAACATCTGAATTACAACACAGGATATTGACAGTAAATAAATTAGGCTAGATTTTGGACACATTTTGTGCAATCACTGAACTACAATGGACGATTTTGTTAGCTAGCAGCTCCTGAAGGAATACCTGTCATTGGCCTGAATAACCTAGACCTGCCCACCATTGAGGAAGCATAAGTTAGCAGATGAGTAAATGTTGATGTTGGTTTGGATAATCAGAGTTATGACCAAGTTGCAAACATCAAACATCACATTTGGTACTGCAGGCACTAATGACTGAACATCACATTGCAGCGAGCTATAACAATTAAATCACTGAACTAGCATCAAAACCTACTATAGTCCTGGAGGCACAAAAAAGGAAGGGGAATGCTAAAAATAGCAGCTTGTTGAGCTGGTTCATCAAGTTCAGGAATTTGCAGAGAGGTTCAATGCAATTCTTTGCAAACTGAATTTCACCATTTTTCCCGTGAAGCACAAAGATCACATCAAGCACAAGCACAGCGGGGCAATATCAAGCGATTGGGACGCGGCATGGGGCTGAAAGGGGCAAAGGGCCTGACCTTATCGTCAAGGACAAGCCGCAAGCTCGCCACGGCCTTGCTCTGCCTCCGCATCCGGCGGCCCCGCACGGCGATCCCGAGCAGCGCGATGGCGACGGGCACCGACCACGCGCTCCTCGCTGCGCGCGTCGCCCACAGTAGCAGCACCTCCACGGGAAGCCTCCACCACGGCGCCGCCGCCGCGGCCCCTCCCTTCGCACCGCACATGGTGACCTTGACGGCGTTCGCGAGTTCGTTAACGCACCGCAGCATGCCGGCGTGCGCGCCAATGCCGAAGGTGACCTCCTTTGCCGCATACTCGCGCATCCACTTCTTCTGCTCGGCCCCGCCGCCGCAGCGCCGAGGAGGAGGACCTGGAAATGGCCGCCGCCGAGTAGATCAAAGAAAAATCGAGCCTTCTCCTCGCCGTGGATCACCACGGGGAAAGAGGAGGGGAACAAGGAGAGGGAAGCTGCGGGGGAGGCGTGGGGTGGGGGAGGCGTGGGGTGGGGAAGGCTTGGGGCAGGAGAGCTCCGGCGACGCGGGGACCTGCGGGGGGCTGCGGAGGAGCCGAGCTGCCGAGGCGCGAGGGAGCACGACAGAGGGGTGGGGGAGACGACGGGGAGCTGCGGGTTTGTCGGGAATTCGCTGGGGGTGTTTTCAGAAAAAGACCATGGAGACAACTTTTCCCGGACGGAGGGAGTAGGTTCCAAATTCAACAGATTGGTAAAACTAGCCCACGCTGATGTGTAGCTTCTTCTGATGGTACTCCTCCTGCAACTAGTACTACAGTGGATCTTCCGTGAATTGCCAGTGCTTACCGTAGACAGCAAGCTTCAGACCCTTATTGACTGGATTGATAGTTTGCATGAAGTTCTCAATGTTTCCCAAACAAGGAATTGGCTGAAACTCTGGCCTTTCTGTTTTGTTTCTTTTGTGTTTTTGTAATACTTTTGTGGGTTTGTTTTTGTGAGAAAACAATTGGTTTAGTCATCGCTTCAAAAAATTGCTAGTGAAAAATGAGTTACATATTGGTGATATCTAGGCGCTGAAGGGAATTATAACCAGTTCTCCATGTGCTTACATCTCGGTTGACTGTTACTTTATCACTTAGCAAGTCATGCTTGATACCGTTTTGCTAATTTGTTTTGCACAGTTCATGCAAATTGATGCATGTTTATCTCGGAGTTTCAACATAATCGAGAATTATCATGCGGATCTCAATACTTTATCGGGCGGTATAGATTTTGACTGGCATTGTCTGCCACCGCGAGGAAGATCGGGTGGGATCTTACTCGGAGTTAGATGTGATTCACTCAAAGTCCGAAGTGTGGCCATGGGAGATTTTGCTGTTAAGTTTAGGGTGCGGTCGAAGGCTGATGGGTTTAATTGGGCTCTGGTGGCGGTATATGGTGCCGCACAGCCCGAACTCAAACCTGATTTCTTGGCTGATCTAGTTAGGATTTGCGGTTCTGAGCAGCTTCCAATCCTGGTGGGGGTGATTTTAACATCATTAGAAGGCGTGATGAGAAGAACAATGATAACTTTGACGGCAGATGGTCGTTCATGTTTAATACTATCATTGAAAGCTTGGATCTGAGAAGATAGAGCTTTCGGGAAGAAAGTTCACCTGGGCTAACGTGATGCCAAATCCGACATTTGAAAAGTTGGATCGAGTACTGGCTAGTGTCGAATGGGAACAAAAATTTCCCTTTGTAACAGTTCAGGCACTTTCTCGTGGTATTTCTGACCACACGCCTTTATTTCTTGACTCTGGTGAGGCCACCCACTTGGGAAACAAAAATTCATTTTCGTTCGAGCTTGCTTGGTTTGAAAGAGAAGGCTTCTTTGATCTCGTAGCTAGAGAGTGGGCTAAGGATGCAGGAGGTAGGACTGCGCTTGAGCGTTGCCAGAATAAGATTAGGCACTTGAGAAGTTTCCTACGTGGGTGGGCTAAGCATCTTAGCGGGATTTATAAAGTCGAAAAGGAACGGCTCCTTACCCTTATTCGGTCCCTAAATGTAAAAGCAGAAACCACGGTTCTGCCAGCCTTAGAGCTTCATGCCAAGCTTGACACGGAGATGAGGCTGAAAGAGCTTCTTCGTGAAGAAGAATTAAAATGGGCACTGCGGGCCATGGTCCGAAAAGTAGTCCAGTGGGACGCGAGCACTCAATTCTTCCACATGATCGCCAATGGCAAACACAGAAAGAAGAGGATCTTTCAGCTTGAACAAGATGAAGGAACGATTCTTGGTCAGGAGAACCTAAAATAATACATTACTGAGTATTACAAGCAGTTGTTTGGGCCTCCAGAGGATAACTGTGTGTCTCTGGATGAGTCTAGGATTGAGGATGTTCCTCAACTTACTGCTGTTGAGAATGATATTTTAGCTCCTCCTTTTTCTGAGAAAGAGGTGTTTGAGGCCATATTGCAGATGAAAAATAATAAGGCTCCCGGTCCGGATGGATTCCCGGCTGAGTTTTATAAGAAGTGCTGGCATATTATTAAAGGGGACTTGTTGCCGTTGTTCCATGATTTATTCTCTGGACAGCTTCAGCTTTTTCAACTGAATTTTGGAACGATAACCCTGCTTCCTAAGAAAACAGAGGTTGTGAGAATCGAGCAATTCAGGCCCATCTGTCTTCTTAATGTTAGTTTCAAAAAATTTACCAAGGTCGGGACTAATAGGCTCACACAGATTGCGCATGTTGTGGTGCAGCCTACTCAAACTGCTTTCATGCCGGACAGGAACATCCTCGAAGGGGTTGTGGTCCTTCATGAAACGCTCCATGAGATTCACACGAAAAAACTAGATGGAGTTGTTTTCAAGGTGGATTTCGAGAAAGCGTACGATAAAGTCAATGGTCTTTCCTTCAACAGGCCTTACACATGAAGGGTTTTGATGAAGCTTGGCGACGCCAGGTAGAATCTTTCACACAAAAAGGGAGTGTTGGAATTAAAGTGAATGACGACATAGGTCATTATTTCCAGACACACAAGGGCCTGAGACAAGGTGATTCAATGTCTCCTATTCTGTTCAACATTGTGGTTGACATGTTGGCAATTCTGATAGGTAGGGCAAAGGAGGCCGGTCAGGTGGGTGGCTTGGTGCCTCATCTAGTTGATGGTGGTGTGTCCATCCTGCAGTACGCTGATGATACAATCATCTTTATGGAGCACGACTTGGCAAAAGCGAGAAATATGAAACTGGTGTTATGCTTATTTGAACAATTGACCGGATTGAAGATTAACTTTCATAAAAGCGAGTTGTTCTGTTTTGGTAGAGCCAATGAGGAACAAGAGGCTTATAGGCAATTATTTGGATGTGAATTGGGGGCATTACCTTTCACATACTTAGGTATACCCATTCACCATCGTAAGCTGACAAACAGAGAATAGAAGTGCATCGAGGATCGGTTTGAGAAGAAACTGAGTTGCTGGAAGGGCAAACTCATGTCATATGGAGGCTGATTGATTCTTATTAATTCGGTGCTCACGAGTATGCCTATGTTTCTCTTAGCTTTCTTCGAGGTCCCAGTTGGGGTTAGGAAAAGGCTGGACTTCTATCGATTCCAATTCTTCTGGCAGAGTGATGAACTAAAGAGAAAATACCGACTCGCCAAATGGGATATCATCTGTCAACCAAAGGACCAGGGGGGCCTTGGTATTGAGAATCTTGAAGTCAAGAATAGATGTCTTCTTAGTAAGTGGCTGTATAAGTTATCAGTTGAGACTGAGGCAACGTGGGCGCAGATTCTCCGTAGTAAGTATCTGCAGTCCAAGACTTTGTCCCAGGCGACAGTGAGACTGACTGACTCGCCATTTTGGAAGGGGCTTATGAGAGTCAAAGATGTCTTCTTTAATAGATCAAAGTTTATCGGTAATGGCAACACCACTCGCTTCTGGGAGGATACTTGGCTTGGTGAAACACCGTTGGCGCTTCAGTATCCATCCCTGTATCGTATTGTTCAACGACGTGATGCTCTTGTTGCAACGATTATGCAGTCCATTCCCCTTAATATTCAGTTTAGGAGGGTGCTTGTTGGCGACTGATGGGAAGCATGGCTTCATTTGGTGAGTAGCCTGATGAAGGTTCAGCTAGCTCATCAGCCCGATGTTGGGGAACGTAGCAATAGTTCAAAATTTTCTACGCATCACCAAGATCAATCTATGGAGATTCTAGCAACAAGAGAGGGAGAGGATGAGTTGATCCTCATACCCTCGAAGATCGTGATGCGGAAGCATTACAAGAACGCGGTTGGTGGAGTCGTACACGCAGTGATTCAGATCGCGGTCGATTCCGATCTAAGCGCCGGACGGTGCCTCCGCGTTTAACACACGTACAGCCCGGGGACGTCTCCTCCTTCTTGATCCAGCAAGGGGAGAGGAGAAGTTGAGGCAAAACTCTAGCAGCACAACGGCGTGGTGGCGATGGAGCTCGTGGTTCTCCGGCAGGGCTTCGCCAAGCACTACGGAGGAGGAGGAGGTGTTGGAGGAGGAGGTGTTGGAGGAGGGAGGGGCTGCGCCAGGGGAAGGCTGCGGCTGCCCTCTCTCTCCCTCACTATATATAGGGGAAGGGGGTGGATGAGAATCCCTAGGGTTACCTAGGGGAGGGGTGGCGGCCACAGGGGAAACCCTAGATGGGTTTGGGCGCCCCCACCCCTAGGAAACTTGCCCCCCAAGTCGGGAGGGGCGGCTGCCCTAGGGGAGGCGCCCCACCTCTCCATGTTACGTGAGATGGGGTGGGAGGGGCGCACAGCCCCTTAGTGGGCTGATGTGCCCCCTCCCCTTGGCCCATAAGGCCCCCCAACGCTTGATGGGGCCTCCGAAACACCTTTCGGTCATGCTGGTCGTCACCTGGTACTCCCAGAACAATTCCGGACTCCAATACCCTTTGTCCAATATATCGATCTTCACCTCCGGACCATTCCGGAGTTCCTCGTCACGTCCGGGATCTCATCTGGGACTCCGAACAACCTTCGGTAACCACATACTATTTCCCATAACAACTCTAGCATCACCGAACCTTAAGTGTGTAGACCCTACGGGTTCGGGAACCATGCAGACATGACCGAGATGTTCTCCGGCCAATAACCAACAGCGGGATCTGGATACCCATGTTGGCTCCCACATGTTCCACGATGATCTCATCGGATGAACCACGATGTCGGGGATTCAATCAATCCCGTATACAATTCCCTTTGTCAATCGGTACGTTACTTGCACGAGATTCGATCGTCGGTATCCCAATACCTCGTTCAATCTCGTTACCGGCAAGTCACTTTACTCGTTCCGTAATGCATGATCCTGTGACTAACTACTTAGT